TATCGCTAGTGGCTGTTCTTGCTTTGTTGAAAGGTGGATTCTTTTTTTTGTATTGATTAGTGTTAAAAAGGTCAGTTTTTTTTTGTTTCTTCATTTTGTGGCGTTGAAGGGATATTGGGTTAGAGTTTAAGGGTGTTTTTGATGGAGAAAGGTGTTTAATTTGATTATGGGCATGTGTGTTGTTGTTAATTGGAACTATGGATCTGTCACTCTGTTCGTTTCTAGGTTTCTGGGGAAAAATTGAGATTGATTGAGATTAAAAAAAAAAAAAAAAGACTGAATTTTTCTACCTTCCGATCTACAAAGATCAATTGGGTTTTTGTTGTATTTTCTTATGTGAGTTTATTCCCTGCCCTGGATTTGATATTTTTGAGAGTAGATTGGTGTGTGTGTGTGTGATGGAAGCTAGAATTGAAGGTGAGGGTCAACATTACTATGGGTTTAGAGCAATGAATCTAAGGTCAGTAGGTAAAAAGAGTGTGGAGTGGGATTTGAATGATTGGAAATGGGATGGTGATTTCTTTGTGGCTACACAATTGAATCCTGGTGGTGGCGAAACGACGGGACGTCAGTTTTTCCCGTTAGGAAACTCGTCGAACAGCTCTTCGTCGTGCTCTGATGAAGGGAATAATACTGAGTTAATGGTGAGAAGGAGTAGAGAGGTTGAGAAGAAAAGGAGAGCTGTTGTGATTGAGGAAGATGATGATAATAATGGTGGTGGTGGTCTTACTTTGAAGCTAGGAGACAATGGTTGTGATCTTAATGGTGAAAGAGAAGGGAATTGTGCTGCAGCAGCAGCGAAGAAGACGAAATTCGGAGGAGGAGGTGTGACAAATCGCGCGGTTTGTCAAGTGGAGAACTGTGAAGCTGATCTTAGCAAAGTTAAGGATTATCATAGACGCCATAAGGTGTGTGAGATACATTCTAAGGCTACTAGTGCAGTTGTCGGAGGTATTATGCAGCGGTTTTGTCAGCAATGTAGTAGGTATGCGTCTTTCGAAGCCTCTTAAATCTGATTGAGTAATCGGGGAAGAAAAAATAATCTGACTTTTTGTTTTGCAGGTTTCATGTTCTTGAAGAGTTTGATGAAGGAAAGAGAAGTTGTCGTAGACGTTTGGCTGGACATAATAAACGTAGGAGGAAAACAAATCCTGAACCTGGCGCTAACGGGAATCCTCCTGGTGATGATCAATCAAGCAACTATCTGCTGATTAGTCTCTTGAAGATACTGTCCAATATGCATTGTAAGTTGTTTATTCTAATCTTTACGTGTTCTAGTCTTTAAAGTGTTCATACCAGCTGCTAATTTTTGTTCCCTTGCAGCTGATCGATCAGACCATACCAGTGACCAAGATTTGATGTCTCATCTTCTGAAGAGCCTTGTAAGCCACGCTGGTGAACAATTAGGGAAAAACTTAGTTGAACTTCTTCTACAAGGAGGATCTCAAGCTTCCTTAAATATCCGAAACCTGCTTGCAATTGAGCGAGCTCCTCAAGAGGATTTGAAGCAACTTTCAGTAAATGTACCGGATATTCCTCAGCAAGAAGTGTATGCCAATGGGACAGCTACCGAGAACAGACCAGAAAAACAAGTCAAAGTAAATGATTTTGATTTGAATGACATCTATATAGACTCAGACGACGGTACAGATATCGAAAGATCTCCTCCTCTTACGAATCCAGCAAGCAGTTCTCTTGAGTATCCTTCCTGGATACATCAGTCTAGTCCACCGCAGACAAGTAGGAATTCAGATTCAGCATCTGACCAATCACCATCAAGTTCCAGCGAAGATGCTCAGGTATATAAATCTCTCTGCCTCATTGTCTGCATCCATTTGGCTGCTGATAATTCGCTCTAACCATCTTTTTCCTGACTTCATCTTTCAGATGCGCACAGGTCGGATTGTGTTCAAACTATTTGGGAAAGAGCCCAATGATTTTCCTGTTGACTTGCGTGGACAGGTACTGGCCTGCTTGAGAACTCAAGTTCTTACTTTTTGTGATATTGGAAAGTTATATTGATGTGGTAATCTCTGGATATTCAGATTCTTGATTGGTTATCGCATAGTCCATCTGACATGGAGAGCTACATTAGGCCTGGTTGTATCGTGTTGACCACTTATCTTCGTCAAGCTGAAACTGCTTGGGAAGAAGTAAGCGTACTTTTTAACTTATCTCTCTTCTTTAACATTTCATATTGTCTTGTCTAGAAGTTTCAGACTCATGAACTCTCGTTCTCTTTTTTTTGCAGCTTTCTGATGATCTAGGTTTTAGCTTAGGGAAGCTTCTAGATCTCTCTGATGATCCTTTGTGGACGACTGGATGGATTTATGTTCGGGTGCAAAATCAACTTGCATTTGTATTTAACGGTTAGTTTCACTGATTACCTTCGCACTATGTGAAAATTTCTCTGGAGTTCTGTATTTATTGTTAAATGCGGGGTTGCAGGTCAAGTTGTTGTTGACACTTCCCTGCCTCTAAGAAGTCGTGATTATAGCGACATCATTAGTGTTAGACCGCTTGCTGTAGTTGCAACAGGAGAGGCTCAGTTTGCAGTAAAAGGCATCAATCTCCGTCGACCTGGCACAAGGTTTTGTTTTCTTTCAAGTTTTGGCTTGCCTTTTCTTCTTCTTCGACGATGTCTAACTGTCCTCGATCAAACATTTTCACAGGTTACTTTGTGCTGTGGAAGGAAAATACTTGATTCAGGAAACAATAAATGACTCGACGACTGAGGAGAATGATGATCTCAAGGAGAATAATGAGATGGTTGAGTGTGTAAATTTTTCTTGTGCTTTGCCTATAACAAGCGGTCGAGGATTCATGGAGGTGAGATAACTTTCTATTTCTGCTCTGATCATCAATAAACTGTTACATGTTTATGCATCAGACTCAGAGCTTACTTGATGATTATTCCAGATTGAAGACCAAGGACTCAGCAGCAGTTTCTTCCCTTTCATTGTGGTTGAAGAAGACGATGTTTGTTCTGAGATCCGTGTACTCGAAACCACATTAGAGTTCACCGGAACTGATTCTGCTAAGCAAGCTATGGATTTCATTCATGAAATAGGTTGGCTTCTTCACAGAAGTAAGCTTGGCGAATCAGACCCAAATCCAGACGTTTTCCCAGTAACACGGTTCAAGTGGCTAATCGAGTTCTCAATGGACCGAGAATGGTGTGCTGTGATCAGAAAGCTATTAAACATGTTCTTTGAAGGAGCTGTTGGTGATTCTTCCTCCTCTGAAGCCGCACTGTCAGAACTGTGCCTTCTTCACAGAGCCGTTAGGAAAAACTCTAAACCCATAGTCGAAATGCTCTTGAGATACATTCCCAAGCAGCAAAGACACAGCTTGTTTAGACCCGATGCCGCTGGTCCAGCCGGTTTGACACCTCTTCACATTGCAGCCGGTAAAGATGGTTCAGAAGATGTGTTAGACGCTCTAACAGAAGACCCTGAAATGGTGATTTTGATTTTCCCTCTTTTTTTCAGCCATGAAATTTGATTCTCAAAACAAAAAAAAATCTTATCTTCTTGCATCTGATCTAGGTGGGTATTGAAGCGTGGAAGACATCTCGAGACAGCACGGGCTTCACACCAGAAGACTACGCACGCTTACGCGGTCACTTCTCATACATCCATTTGATTCAACGCAAGATCAATAAAAAGTCTACAACTGAAGATTACGTTGTAGTCAATATCCCTGCTTCTTACTCAGAAAGAGAGCAGAAAGAACCAAAATCAAGTCCAATGGCTTCAGCCTTGGAGATCACAACACAGACTAACCAGCTTCAATGCAAGCTTTGTGACCATAAACTGGTGTATGGGACAACACGACGGTCTGTAGCTTACAGACCAGCTATGTTGTCAATGGTGGCGATTGCTGCGGTTTGTGTCTGCGTGGCACTGCTCTTCAAGAGTTGTCCGGAAGTGCTCTATGTGTTTCAACCGTTCAGGTGGGAGCTATTGGACTATGGAACAAGCTGAGTGTAAGTCTACTTTGAAGAGTCTTCTAAGATATACATATTAATGTTACTTATATAAAATGTGTGATTTTTATATGTAACTATGAGTATAAGATGTAGAGACTTGTTGGGGTTTAGAAGATTGTTGTTGTTGTTGTGTAAAACCCTCTCCTTTCTCTCTGGAACCTTGAGGATTCTCTCTTTGATTAGCATTTTTTTCGTTTTGACATAACTATTTATTTGTATCATTTTGTAATTTTACAATGGAGATTTTCTTGTACTAGCTTTTTTTCTTCTCCTTTTTGTGTTAATGGTGAAACTTGTAATCTAGTTACTATGAAACTTCGAGTAATACAGTTATGACTTTGAGAATGGGCACATTCCAACACTTTCATGACTTCTTCCTTCTCTGGTACATATACTGCTATGCAGATCAGAAGCTCTAAAGCCGGAATCCGAATCTCGCAACCTAAAGAAGATAGCTCGATCAGTCGCCTTGTAGCTCCAGCTTCTACTACTGCTTTTAAATGATCTTTGTGTAAGTATTTACTCGGGCTTGCGAATTTAGTGAGTGCTAAAACTGCTTCTCTGGATCTTGATGACCAAGAAGCTTCACCAATTGCTCAATCATTGATGTATCAGACGCTCTAAAAGCTCGTGCGAGGTTCCCTATCAATGTGATGTATGGTATAAGTAAAACCGTATCTCCATTTTCTTCGGTGAGCCTATGGGTTTGATTAACAATGGCCTTGAAAATGGGGGATTTGCGCTTGAAAGCTGAGTGTCTCAAGTGAGAGACTTGCTCTGCCACAGCAGTAATCTCTATTAAAACCAACAAGGAGATGTATCTAACTTCTTTGTCTTCTATCTCTAGCAAATCTGCGAAACACAAGAATCTTTGCAGATAGTAGAGTTTCCTTTGGCTAGCTCCTTCAAAGCTTTTGCTGCCATTGCCTTCATGTGAAAGGATTTTTGGCTCTCGGGGAAGCTCGAGGCTAACACTGAAATGGTACAAGCCACCTCTGCTTGAACTCTCATCGACCCTTGTTCCAGGATCTTGTCGAATACGGAACACAATCCATTACGGATCATGATCTCTGCGGACCTCGGGTTATTACTGGCCAGTAATCTCAGCGAAGTAGCTGCGTCGCAGGAGTCATCAAGTGTAGAGAATAGCCATTTGTTCATAGATCAAGAACAGAGTTGGGTCTCTTATCGCGGATGGTGGGAGACCAAGGAACCTTTGGAGAAGCACAGGTCTTGACGATTGAGATGATGTGACGGGTCGGAGCTGGCCATAACTGCTTTCTTCAGCAGCTCTAAGAGCTTCTCTACCTTGATGTCGCACTCTTTGGCTTGGTTTGGCAAGGATGAAACTTGTTTCCTTTCTCTTGGCTCTTATTTCATTTTATTGTTTACGTTTAGATATGAATGAAAATGTAACCAAGAAACTTCCCTTCTTACTTTTCGTTTAGACCATTCTAATGATATGTACCATTTCTATCTCGTGTTACGGTTCTCAGAACAATCAGTATAGATTTGAGAGTGACAGATTCAGATGGAAACAAAAGCTCATATCCAAAAGAGTACAATACATGATCAAAGGAAACCAAACCATACTGAGACTGAAACACCACAAAGCGATTTAAGAGTTTTCAAACAACATAAAAACGTAGTTTAAATTATATAAGCAACAAAAGCCCCTCTCTCTTAAGCCTTATCTGCCTTAAGCGGCTTAACGACCTCCCAGGTAAACTCTGGACCTTCCCTACCAAAGTGCCCGTACGCCGCTGTCTTCAAGAACCTTCCATTGCCACCTCTGGTGAGGTCAAGGTTAATAGTCATCATGCCTGGCCTGAAATCGAAATTCTCCTTCACAATCTTGAGAATCTCCTTGTCTGGAATCTTCCCGGTTCCGTATGTGTCAACAAAAACAGACAATGGGTCGGGGACACCAATGGCGTAAGAGACTTGAACGAGCGCCCTGCGTGCAAGATCGCTGGCTACAATGCTCTTAGCTGCTTGTCTAGCTATGTAAGCACCGCTTCGGTCCACTTTCGATGGGTCTTTACCCGAGAACGCACCACCACCGTGAGCTCCCCAACCACCGTATGTGTCGATAATGATCTTGCGTCCAGTCAAACCAGCATCTCCGTGAGGGCCACCAATGACAAATCTGCCAGATGGGTTAAGGTGAAAGATGGTCTTTTCGTCAAGGTACTTCTCCGGAATCACAGGCTTGATCACATGCTCTTTGAGGTCACGAGCGATTTCATCGTTAGTGACAGTCTCATCGTGCTGGGTGGAGATAAGAACAGTGTGAACACGAACAGGGACCATAGCACCATTGTCATTGTAGTACTCAACGGTGACCTGAGTCTTCCCATCAGGTCTTACCCACGGACAAGTCCCGTCCTTCCTAACCTCAGTGAGACGCGCACCAAGCTTTGTAGCCAAAACATGGCTCAACGGCATCAACTCAGGAGTCTCATCAGTTGCATACCCAAACATGTGACCTTGATCACCAGCTCCAATCTCTTCAGGACGTTTAGTGAAATGACCATGAACACCTTGAGCAATGTCAGGGCTTTGTTCCTCAATGTTGACCAACACTTTGCAGTTGTCAGCATCGAGTCCCACATCGGCCGAGACGAATCCGATATTGCGACAAGTGTCACGGACAATCTTCTCGTAATCAACTTTGGCCTTGGTGGTGATTTCACCGAAAACCATAACCATGTTGGTTTTGGTACAAGTCTCACATGCGACTTTGCTTTCAGGGTCTTGCTCGAGACAAGCGTCAAGAACAGCATCTGAAACTTGGTCACAGAGTTTGTCTGGGTGTCCCTCGTTCACAGACTCGGATGTAAATAGAAACGACTCCATTTCTTACAAGCCTGCGAATTCCAACAAAACATCATCATCACAAAGATGAATTCAGGGATTGAAAGAGACCAAAAATCATATAATCAAACAAAGTTTTGCATTAGATTCTCATATACAGAAACGAATTATAAAAACCCTAAAATTAATTTTGCATTAGAGTAATGGAATCTATTCGAAAGTGATAAATGAAGATCAAGTGGAACGAAGAATAATATAAAAAAAATAGATTCAGATACAGATTAATCAAATTTAGTGTAACCGTTGAAAATTCCAGATCAGTAACTGGAAACAGAGATTAAATCTATAAATCTCAATGAACTAATAAATCTCACAATCATTAAATTTGGTAAAAAATCAAACCTAATACCTCTAATAAACCTAACACCTAACAAAAACAGTAAATGATTTGCACAGATCTGGATCAAATGATTAGAGAAATAGAGTGAATAGAGTGAAC